AGGCCAGGCATAGTGGCTCACACCTGGAATCCTGGTGCTTTGGGAGGCCAAGGTAGGTATACTGCTTGAGTTTAAAACTAGCCTGGGCAATGTGGCAAAACCCTGTCTCTACAAAAAAAAAAAATTAGCCAGGTGTGGTAGTGGGCACCTATAGTCCCAGCTACTATAGAGAACTGAGTTGGGAGGATTGCTTCAGCACAGGAGATCGAGGCTGCAGTGAGCCATGACTGCACCATTACACTCCAGCCTGGGTGACAGAGGGAAACCTTGTCTCCAATAAGATAAGAAAAAAAAAAAAAGGAAGGGAAAGGAAGGAAACAAAAGAAAAAAAAAAAGAGAGAAAAGAAAGGAAGGAAAAGAAGGAAAGAAAGAGGGAGGGGGAGGGAAGGAAGGAGAATAAAAATTTCGGAGAAATGAATACCTCTCCCAGAGTTATCTTCTGTAAGGGCATTTTAGTGACTAATTTGGCTAAATAAGAATAGACAACAAACATCACATTAGTATATTTGAGAAAATAAAATGCTAATTCCAGCACACCGAATGCCAATAGTCTGAGAGAGCTAGGACTCACAACTGGGCAACCACTGAAAGGGATCAACATTTTAACACAATACTTCTTACTCCTCTCCCCAAGTCCCAGTGCAATGGCACACACAGCAGAAGGACATAGTATGTACCCTCAATCTCCCAGAGACTTGACAACAAAGAAAGCCAAGGGCATATGACACTGACAGAAATACACTCCACAGGAAGGGTGGGATGAAAGGCTCTGCCTGACAGTGCACGATGGCTGATCCCTTCTCCTAGACAGAAATGATGAAGGCATAGGCTAACAGATTCATACCTTCATACCTGTTGGAAATTATTTCTCCAGATAGATAGCTGCTGCCTAAGTGATATCCTGATAAGTCACCACAGCCACAAAGTCAGTACTGCCTACTGTTTGACAGCTTGATATAGGCACTGGGAAAAGGCTAGCGCGACCTTGGTTATCATCTTGAGCAACCTCACTAAGGCACATGTACTCACAATATTTGACAAAGAAAGCTAGCAAAAGTTCCTTTACTTCCATCCCCTAGGCCAGTAAGTACCAACCAATAATAAATAAAGGACATTTCACATCAAGAGTCATGATAGCAGAGTTACAAAAAACTCAACCCAAAGTACTTCGGAGAAACCTTCTCAGAGGCGCACACACACACACACATTCAGACTCTACTAAGAGTTGTGTTTCTGAGAGGCATAAGCACGCAGACACACACACACACTCAGGCTCTACTAAGAGTTGCTAAGCAGATCCTGGTGACTCAGGATCTGTACCAATTTTGCCTGTAAGTAAAACTGGGGGAAAGAATAGACAGAGACTTTTTAAAAAAAATTTAGACAAGGATCTCACTGTGTTGCCCATGTTATCTTAAAACTCCTGGGCTAAAGTGTTCTTCCTGCCTCAGCCTCCAAAAGTGGTAGGATTACAAGCTCAAGTCACTATGCCTGGCCTACAAAGACATTTTATGTTTCACAAATACTTACTTTATTCACCTTGAGGAGTCAGGACTTCTTCCCTCACATTCTTATGTCTCTCATAAGATGGTTCACTTTGTCACAAGGACCGTAATCCACATCCATTTCCTTAAAGAATTCGTTTTAATAAACTTCAGATATAAAAATAAATTTTCTTAGAATTATAATTGAAGGCCATCCACAGTGGCTCACGCCTGTCATCCCAGCACTTTGAGAGGCCAAGGTAGGCAGGTCACCTAAGATCTGGAGTTCAAGACCAGCCTAGCCAACATGGTGAAACCCTGTCTCTACTAAAAATACGAAAATTGACAGGGTGTGGTGGCTCACGCCTGTAATCCTAGTACTTTGGGAGGTCGAGGTGGATGGATCAGGAGTTCGAGACCAGCCTGGCCAACCACAGTGAAATCCTGTCTCTACTGAAAATACAAAAATTAGCTGGGTGTGGTGGCGGGCACCTGTAATCCCAGCTACTTGGGAGGCTGAGGCAGGAGAATCACTTGAACCTGGGAGGTGGAGGTTGCAGTGAGCTAAGACTGCGCCACTACACTCCAGCCTGGGCAATGGAGCAAGACTATGTCTCACCAAAAAAAAAAAAAAAAAGAAAAAAATTAGCCAGGCGCAGTGGCGCACACCTGTAGTCCCAGCTACTTGGGAGACTGAGACAGAAGGATCACTGGAACTGAGGATGCAGTGAGCCGAGATTGCACTACTGCACTCCAGCCTGGCTGGACTCTGACACAACACACACACACACACACACACACACACACACACACACACACAATTTAGAATTGGAAATTATTTGACATGCAGAGGAGGAAGAGAGAGAAAAAACATCGAATTTAAAATTATTTCAAATGCTACCAAGTGCTAGGTACTACAGTTAAGTGTTCTGCATACATTATAAACCAAGTCACAACTCAAATGTATGCCACCCCTCAAGAAGTTTCTCTGACCACCCCTTTAAAACTGCCCCCATCTTCATTCTCCCAATACCCTGCTTCATTTTCTTTACAGCACTCAGCTATCGGCTATTATACTGTTTTTCTCTATTTGCTTATGGTCTGTTTTCTCCCATTAAAATAAAGTTATTCCGTATGTCTTGTTCACTGCAGCAACCTCAACATTCAGAAAGGTGACTGGTATACAGCAGATATCCATCAATGAATGATTCCATTTATCCTACATAAGGACTCCAAAAGTTATGGGTAAGAGGGAATTGAGGATGTGGGAGGTTAAAAAATGTGCCAGTGGTAACCCACCTAGGAAGTAACATCTGACTCCAAAACCTGTACTCCTCTTTGTTATGCTGTACTACCTAAGTGCAAAAATTTCCTTGAAGATCTCATTCTCAAAACTTTTTCCATCAAAATGATTTTCACACACCCTGAATTGTGGTAAAGTTTATTTAAAGTTTATTAAAAGAATGCTGATGTGATCATGATGTCTACATGGGTAAGCAAGAGAGAATTGTGTTGTGTGGCAATGTCAACAGTCTGACCAATGACTAGGGGAAGAATAAAAATCTAGGAAATGGGGTTGACTAAAAAAGGATATAGAAGATATTTTATTAAGAAAGAACCCTGGGCCGAGCCCAGTGGCTCACGCCTGTAATCCCAACACTTTGGGAGGCCAAAGTAGGTGGATCACCTGAGGTAAGGAGTTGAAGACCAGCCTGGCTAACGTGGTGAAACCCCATCTCTACTAAAAACACAAAAAATTAGCCGTGCGTGGTGGCAGGTGCCTATAATCCCAGCTACTCAGGAGGCTGAGGCATGAGAATTGCTTGGACCCAGGAGGCAGAGGTTGCAGTGAGCCGAGATTGCGCCACTGCACTCCAGCCTGGGCAACAAGAACTCCATCTCAAAAAAAAAAAAAAAAAAAAGAAAACAAAAAACAAAAAACAAATCATCAACAACAGAAGAACGAACGAACTCTGGCTGGGTGCAGTAGCTCATGCCTGTAATCCCCAGCACTTTGGGAGGCTGAGGCAGGCGGATCACGAGGTCAGAAGTTCGAGACCAGCCTAGCCAACATGATGAAACTAAAATCTCTACTAAAAATACAAAAATTAGCCAGGTATGGTGGCACACACCTGTAATCCCAGCTACTTGGGAAGCTGAGGCAGGGGAATTGCTTGAACCCAGGAGGCAGAGGTTGCAGTGAGCCAAGATCGTGCCACCTCACTCCAGCCTGGGCAACAGAGCAAGACTCCATCTTGGAGAAAAAAAAAAAAAAAAGAACTTCACTGGGCGCAGTGGCTCCTGCCTATAATCGCAGCACTTTGTAAGGCTAAGGTGGGTGGATCACTTGAGGTCAGGAGTTCAAGACCAGCCCGGCCAACATGGCAAAACCCCATCTCTACTAAAAATACAAAAATTAGCCAGGTATGGTGGCATGGGCCTGTAGTTCCAGCTACTCAGGAGGATGAGGCAAGAGAATCACCTGAACTCAGGAGGCAGAGGTTGTAGTGAGCCAAGATCACACCATTGCACTTCAGCCTGGGCAACAGAGCGAGACTCTGCTCAACAACAACAACAACAAAAAGAAATAACTCCAGTGAATACTGCAAATGAGGTCAAACAAAAATTTGAAGTTTGAGAGAACATCCTATGGGATCTGTGAACACCGTATAATCTCTCTTTTCTTAGAGTGAGATTAAAAAGTTCAAAAAGGTAGAGGCTCTCTCTTAATCGTACTCCTGAAAAGAGCACTGCAGGGTACCCTATGCACAAGGATGGCTACCTGTCAAAAACACTGTTTCACACCTGGAAGAATACTGGCCCTGTTCCTGCTTTATTTTAGTGTGCCACTCATTGGACAGCAGTCATTAATCAGGAATCTGAGAGCCCTATGAATCTTCAAAGAATGGCTGAGGGTTGGGGGAGAAATGTCTATAAGCCACCTCCTTTTGTGTTTTTGAGACAGAGTCTTATTCTGTTGCTCAGGCTGTAGCACAGCAGCGTTGCTTCAGTTTACTGCAACGCTGATCTCCTGGGTTCAAGCAATTCTCGTGCCTAAACTGAAGCCTCCAGAGTAGCTGGGATTATAGGCGTGTGCCACTACACCTGGCTAATTTCTGTATTGTTAGTAGAGACGGGGCTTCACCATGTTGCCCAGGCTGGTCTTGAACTCCTGGCCTCAAGTGATCCACCCGCCTCAACCTCTCAAACATCTGAGACTACAGGCATGAGCCACCATGCCTAGCCAAGGGCTGGATATTTTAGATAGGATTTTTTGTTGGGATAGAAGAAAGAGGCAGTAAGAGACAATGCTGATATCTTTAAGATCAAAAATAATATATCTCTGATAAAAAGCAATAATTAACTCTAGGAGAAATACACAGTTGGAAGAACGGTACAAAAAAGATGTCATCTGCCAGGGTTCCCCCATTTATATTTCCACTATTCACAGTATTTAGTACAGAGGCAAAGGACCGAATGACTATTCATTGATAAGAACAAGTTGTTTATGAATTAATGAGTGTTCTCAAAATTGGACAGACTGTCAGAATAGGATCCACCATAAGCACACAGATTAGAAGCTTTATCCTTCTCTCCAAAATGGGCATGTAGCAGTTTCTGACACTTGATTAGTACAGTTGTCCCTTGGTGTACACAGGGAATTGGTGCCAGGACCCACAAGGACACAAAAATCCTAGGATGCTCAAGTCCCTTATATAAAATCACATAGTATTTGCACACAACCTACACACATCCTCCAAAATACTTTAAACCATCTCTAGATTACTTATAATACCTAATACCTAATAAAGGCTATATAAACAGTTGTTAACTGTACTTTTTTGTTTGTTTTCTGAGATGGGGTCTCACTCTGTCACCCAAGCTAGAGTACAGCAGAGTGATCACAGCTCACTGCAGTCTCAATCCGGACTCAAGTTATCCTCTCAGCTTCCCATATTAATAGGACTACAGGTTCATGTCACCACACTTGGCTACTTTTTTATTTTTTTTTTGTAGAGATGGGGTCTCCCTATGTTGCCCAGGCTGGTCTCAAACCCCTGGCCTCAAGCAATCATCCCGCCTGGGCCTCCCTAAGTGTTGGGATTACAGAGGTAGGCCACCATTCCTGGCAAGTATTATTTTTTATTGTTGTATAAATAGTTGTTAACTGTACTTTGTTTTTTGAGATGGGGTCTCTGTCACTCAGGCTAGACTGCGGCAGAGTGATCATAGCTCACTGCAGTCTCAATTTGGGCTCAATGTTAATGTATTTTTTCCTGAATATGTTCAATCAGTGTTTGGTTGAATCTGTGGGTGTGGAACCTGTGAATACAGAGTGCCAACTATATTTGGTAAGTGACTGATTCAGTATGGACACTGAACAAACAGTCAATGAGAACCCTCTTAAGTCTATAGGATATGGTCCTAAGCCAGTCATTTTCTAAGGATCTGACAGTGTTTAAACTACTAACAAGGTAAGGAAACATCAAAAGTCTTCTTTAACAAGTGCTTGTTCTCAAAGCATTTAGAGCATGTCATCTCCATATCCATAAGGGGAGAACTTGGCCAAGAAGGGAAAAGTAAGTATAATGAGCCATACTGAATTGAACAAAGCTGAACAAAGCATCAGACTACAGAAGAATTTTCCTGTAATAACTACAATTCTCTGGCAGAGCCATTTTTAAGATTCTGGGCCCAGCCGAGTGCAATGGCTCACACCTATAATTTCAGCACTTTGGAAGGCCAAGGCGGATAGATCACCTGAGGTCAGGAGTTTGAAACTAGCCTGACCAACATGGAAAAAATTTGTCTCTACTAAAAATACAAAATTAACCAGGCGTGATGGCTCATGCCTGTAATCCCAGCTACTCGGGAGGCTGAGGCAGGAGAATCAGTTGAACCCGGGAGGTGAAGGAGGTTGCGGTGAGCTGACAGCGCACCACTGCACTCCAGCCTGGGCAAGAAGAGCGAATCTCTGTCTCAAAAAAAAAAAAAAAAAAAAAAAAAATTTTTAGGCCCCCCTGATTCAAAATTTTAATGTAGGGAGTGGGGACATTAAAAAAAAAAAAAAAATCAAACTATATTCCTAAGCTTCTTTTCCTCCTTTACAGATGAAGGAACTGAAACAACTCAAAGAAAATAACTTTCCCCAAGGAAACACCATAACAAGAAGGATTCTACCCATTTACTCATTCATCCCAGAACTACCAGGCAGCAGTCAATTAAAGACATAGATGGCAAATCTAGGTGGCAAGCTGAATAACTACAGATGGTTCAAACGTAAGGTGAATACACATTCTGATTCACCAGCTCTGACTATATGCAGCCAAAGACTTGAGTGTGCAACGCCAATTGGCAAAGAACAATGATGAATGCAATAGACACCAACAATCCACTCCTCTTCTCTTCCCTGACAGCTCTCTTTTGGAAGTAGCCTGCATCCTGATGCCATAGGAGTCACCATCGGAGGTCTTCACCCTAGGTCTAGGTCTGCATATAACTATTGACCTAGAACTTCTGTGCTAGGCAGATCCTTGCAGTAACAGACAATCAAGGATCATTCTTTGCATCAGGATTACCATCTCAGTCACACTCCAAAAGGAAATACTCCAGATGTGTCTTTTTTTTTTTTTTTTTCAACTACTATCTTTGGAATCTAGTCCAAAAGCAACTGGGCTCTAGTTTTTAAAATGTAATCTGTGCCCATTAAGTTTTCTAGAGAAAGCTTTCCAGCCTTTTTAAAGATTTTCCTCACAACCACTGGTTGGAATGCAGTATGCTCAAAGATAGACTTCTTGTACCTTTCCAAAGTGAAATCATTTGAAACCCTCCCTCCCCATATATAAAAAAATATATCCTTCCAGCATCATTTGACCGAAGTATAAAGCAACCTGGTTGGCCTCCATGCATCCGATGGCATCTTCCAAGAGTGAAAACTCCACGCAGACATAGCCATAGTCGTAACCTGGGGACAGCATTTAAATACAGACGGGAGTGGTGTTAGTGCCTTGCAAACACAAAAGACACACTTAAATCCCCTGTTTCTGAACCCCTTAAACACAAGCCCTCCCAACTGACCCCTCCCTCCCCTACACTAAGTAAAGTTGCTACCCCAAACAGAAAAAAGTACTGAAGGAAAGTCTCGATGTTTCTGGACTTTGAGATTCATTCCAAAATAGCCTTGTCTATTAACCAAGAAGATCCTTTGCCCTCTTTTGCACTGGTGATCGGGTGAAGGTACCCTAGAATTGGGTAATCCCACAGAAGGTTCATGTGGGGACCCGAAACATTTTAACCACAGGCTTAATCTTCCAGAAAAACAAAGTCAACAAGAATAAGAAAGTACCTGGAAAAAAAAAAAAAAGTATCCCGAGAGAAGACAAAAAAAGCAATTATCCCCAGGCTATGCTAATAGTCACCACTTTTCAAGCAGAAACCACCTTCAAAGACAGAAGTGCTGACAGACTGAGGCAACTATTCTGTTTGGATACCACAGGAGGCTTCTGGTTGGCAGGGGACAGACCATTTCAGGTCTCCTCTTTTTTCCTTGTTTCAACTCAAGTCATAAACCAGCTAAAATCTTTATAAAAGGAAGAAGGTGTAAAAGCATAAATAAGTACAAATAACTGTGTCTGAAATTGTGCTTATGCACAAAGACTGGTGGTGGGGAAAGTTGGGAGAAAGACAGCAGTTGTTAGCAATCAATACATGTTTAAGAACTGTACAAACCATAAGAGCTATAAAATACCCCTCACCTTACTCCTAAGCATGTGTCATTTGCAGCACAGGCCTGAGTCGCATGACCCATGAGACTGGGAAGTCATGGGATTTATGGGCTGCTGAACTCAAATCTAACCAGTCCTATAATTTCCCTGATACCGCCACCGTGTAACTACAAAAATACACTGGTCAATGCAATGCTCCCCAAGTGGCTTCCATGCTTCCTCCACTGCCTCGGAGGATAAAGAAGCTCATCTCTAGCAACGACACTGTGTAAATGGAACAGCAAGGAAAAGATGTGATTTGTTCAGATGAGAAACAAAACTCAGGCACAGAAAAACAACATAAAACTCTATGATAATTTTGAGCACAAAGTATATAACAATAGGAAACTGGTATCACTGAATCAATGTATCAAAGATCAATAAAACTAAAGCAACAGAAAATATAACTTTAAAAACATACCACATTTGGTGAAATGAATTAATATTCTTTATTACATGAAATGAATGGCTTTAAAATGTTTTATTAAGAATAAACTTTGATTTTAGACTTGTTAAATACTCCAAGTTTACTATGAAACATTACAATAGTATAGGTTGAGCCTCACTTTGAGTTTCAGAAAGTGACTAGGAAGAAAAACAACCTACTAGAAACCTCAGCACTACTGTAGGATGAGAAATAGATTTTCTAACCTACTTTGACAGTTTTGACCAACATGGATTAAAACTAACCTCTCCAAATTTATCACAAAATCAGTCTCCTCTGCTTAATAACTCGTTGAAGAAATAAAAGTTCTTTAGAGAAACAGTGTGCATATCTTATTAACAGTGGAAACTGTTTTGTTACTTAATTCCTTCCAAGTAAATTTTCTTGATCAAACTCAGTGAACACCTAATACATCAATCACACTGCATTTTATAAACAGCTCTGAATATTCTTGGGAAACATTACAGAATAACAGAAGGAACTAAGGTACCGTTAGCACCAAATATCCACTGCAAACACTCAAATGCATGTCCACAATCAGAAAGGGTTAGTCATGGAAGAAGCAGGTGTACTCTCGAGTGTGTTGATTACCTCTACAGAACATATCAATGGAGTACCCAGGTATATGGAAAGCAACCCTCTCCACAGCTGCCCGGATGAAAAACATGGGGAACTAATACCAAAGCTGGCAAAGCCCTGTTTCCTTTCCGTGCTTAAAGAAGTAACCACTGTGGCCCAGAGGAGCACACAGAATCTGTGGACAGAGAGAGAAAAGATTCATGACAACAGTCATACTTTGCTAAAGGTCAAGTAGACACTGGGAAGGAAAAGATAGAGAAGACAGTATGAGCATCTAACACAGCATTTTTAGACATCAATCCTGCAATACTATATGTTGACAGCATACTTCAGATTCATTATTATATTCATAAGCCCAACACTAAATTTTATTCCGACTGAAACTTTAGCTATCAAACAAGAACAGAAATTTAAGGTTTAACTACACTGCCTAAAACTTAAAAAAAAAAAAAAAAGGCATTTTGTGTGCTCAAGACTCATGGTTGTATCATAAGGATTTTCAGCAATCACCAAAATACATAATGAAATCTTATTCTAGCCAGGCACAGTGGCTCACACCTGTAATCCCAGCACTTTGGGAGGCCGAGGCAGGCAGATCATGAGGTCAAGAGATCACGACCATCCTGGCTAATATGGTGAAATGCTGTCTCCACTAAAAAAAGTACAAAAATTAGCCAGGTGTAGTGGCACACATCTGTAGTCCCAGCTACTTGGGAGGCTGAGGCAGGAGAACTGCTTGAACCTGGGAGGCAGGAGATTACAGTGAGCCGAGAGGGCGTCACTGCACTCCAGCCTGGGCAACAGAGCGAGACTCAGCTTCAACAACAACAACAACAACAAAAGATTTTATTCTAAATATACTGACTTAATATTCACAATACTATCTTATGAGGTAAATATTATTAACCTGATTTTAGCCATGGGGAATAAAGCAAAGAAAGGATAGGTAAATTGATCAAAGTAACCAAATAAGTACCAATACTGAGCTTTAAATGCAGCCAGTCCAGATTCAGGTCGGCGTTTTTAACCACTACACTCTAGCCTCTCACTCTTCAGTAAGATTACAGACCAATTTAAATAATCTTAATTCTAAACTCTACAGAGCCTAGTTACAGAAAAGGTCCCATATGCCTGAACACATACATATATGCCCCTGTTAAAAAAATAGGCCTAGTTAAGAAATATTCAACTTAGCAGTATAATAGTTGCTTCTATTTTAAAATAACTATGGCAGAACTATTGAGAGTAGACCTGAGTATGCAAATTAGAAAATTCTCAGGAGCTGATTATACTAGCTCCCAAAATTCTACTGAAAAGACAAAAACTAATCTTGTAAATGATGGCTATAAAAGTTGCATAGCAATATGAAAAGATACTTGATATAGTATATTTTAAGAACCTTAAAAATGAATATGCCCTTATGGATAATTATGTAAAATGTGTATAGAAAAAAGGACTGGAATTCAGTGAAACTGCATCTAACTCAGGGGTTAGAGGCAAAAGTCAACATGTGAGACAAAAACCATGCACTGTCAAAATCATACTAGAAGACCCCAAGGTGAAGAACAACATACCATCTTTCAATTTAGGTAAGTCCAACACTGCCAGTTTTTCCTCCAGCGCTGCAACAGATCAGTTTTCCTTTGGTTGACACCAGATGAAGAGGTTGGCTTGCATTTAAGGGCCATAAGGTATGAAAATATATTGCTTTAAATAACAGAATCACAGCCAGCATAGTGAATGCTCACTCAGAGAAACTTAGAAAAGGAGACAAACTGAAGCCACAGGCGAGTCTCATCCTCACTGCCCATGCTCACTCCAGGACTGAGAAAACAGGGTGTGGGAAGAGGGGAGGGGGAAAGAGTTCAAACAAGCACAGGTCGACATACAAAACTCAGAATGAATATAATGCAACACAACTGTATATCAAAACGATTACAGTCGTTGTATTGCTATAGTGGGATAATCAGGGATTTTTTTTTTCTTTATTTTCCAAATGTAATTTTATAATTCACAGAAAAGGCACAGAAGATATTCTACCCAGAGACCTAACATTCTAAAAACAACCAACCACCTTGAGATCAGAATTGCTAGGAACCATATGGAATCATTAAGACAGTAAATTCAGTATTAACCTTCCAATGGATAGATTTATTTTTACCAATCAGATTTTATTACCTTTTTCTTCCACTGTCACTTGCTGGGAAGAAGTCTGGTGGGTATTTGTGCTTATTTATATGACTTTTAAAAGCACAGCTAACTAAATTTTCTAATCTAAATTTACAGATCTCACAGAAATATGAATTCCCCTTATACTTTTTTTTTTTTTTGAGACGTTGTCTCTCTCTGTTGCCCAGGCTTGAGTGCAATGGCGCGCAATCCTGGGTCACTGCAACCTCCACCTCACAGGTTCAAGCGATTCTTCTGCCTCAGCCTCCTGAGTAGCTGGGACTATCACGCCCAACTAATTTTTATATTTTTAGTAAAGACGGAGTTTTGCCATGTTGGCCAGGGTGGCCTTGAACTCCTAAGCTCAGGTGATCTGCTCATCTCAGCCTCCCAAAGTGCTGGCATTACAGGCATGAGCCAACATGCCAGGCCTCCTTATACCTTTTTTTTTTTTTTTGGCAAATGAGAAGAATGAGAACAGGGCAAGGGAAGAAAAACCTATAAAGGTAACAATAAAATTTCACATCTTCTCTATCTTCATTAACCATGTGGTTGCCTGTTTCTGAAAACTGTATCTGTGATAAATGCCAACCAGGTGGTTATAAGAGAATAAGGTACACGAAACAAAACCTTGATAAATAATATTCTATCTCAGAACCAACTCTTCAGTCTCTGCCTCTGGAAAAGCTGACTCACAAGATGCTGACAAACATAACCCTGTATGGTTTAAGTCAATTATGAGTCTATAACAGGCCTAATTTTCATAATAATTATAAGGAATATTTGTTTAGGCAAATGAGATGGACCTTCAAACTGTTCTAGGAAAACCCAATTAACATACCCAAATCCAGTTGAATTTCCCATCAAGAGAGTACTGGTTGACACTGGAAAAGCCCAGAATACACATCCAGAAAGGAAAAGGAGGAATCAGGATTTTAAAGAACTTAAGTAGCGGGCTGGGCTCAGTGGCTCTGGCCTGTAATCCCAGCACTCTGGGTGGCCGAGACG